ACATTACAACACATCGACATAAATACTCTGAATAAAGAGTTTTAGTAGATTTTATGATGCTTTTAACAGCTGCTCTTAAAATTAAGATGTGACGTTAAATATTCATGTTTCAGTCGATCGCAGTAAATCTGCTTTTGTAGTATGATAAAATAATGCAATTATTGTAGTATAGAATATGACTAAATTGCTTAAGAAAGGTATATATAAAGCAAAAATAGCAGCATATTGAAATGTGTTGGGTTATTATCCATGTAGCTACAGTAGCATTCATTTGTAGTGTTTCTGTCACCTGAAGTCAAATATTGGTAAATATGGTTTGTATTTAAATAGAGCTTTTCTATATCTGACTCCTAAGCTGCTAATTGCTGCACTTTGTTCACCAGCAGCTGACTATGATGTTGATGCTGGACAGTGGGTTTATCAGAGATTTTTGGAGGAAACGATTCTTGAAAGTGCAGAGACTGCATCACAACAGTGAAGTTGAGCCAAAAGAAAACAAAAAGCACAGTAGAAGTCAGATGAACTGCTCAGTTATGATAACTGTAAGCCTGTCAATATGAGTGACTCATACCCATCATGGATAATTATTGATCAATCATATTTAGTCAATATTTAAGTTTTGATTACTGTAACTTTAAATGAAAATGTACATACTTTCATAATAGACAAGATTTGTTGGTGCGTGCACTGTGTATCTTATGACTGCTATTTACATATAAAATGTAACATTTAAAAACTTTAGCTTAATTCATAGGAAACATGTTTTTATTTCTAAGATGTTAGTTGTCAAAAGAAGTAGTGTTGTGGTACGAATACCAAACCTTTGGTATCGTATCTGCAAGTTCTACATCTATTAATAAGTGAGTCAACACTAGTAATATTTAAGTTGGCAGTGGAAACAGAAAACACTTTTACAAAAGTTGAATCAAAACACAATCATTTGTGATCAATTCCTTGTAAATGGCTGATTAAAGTGTAAAAATCACAAGATACTTCAGCACAGAGATGTATTCAGATATTGAGTGCTCTCTGTCGCCCCTGATCCTTCTTGGCTGAATCTGTAGGAATTGGTTGTGGGTCAGTGCTCATGACCTCTTCATTCCTGTTTAGCAGCAGCTCTGACACCTGGCTCATCGCTCCCCCCCAGTTCCTCATTAATCTCTGCTGATACTAACAGGAAGCGAGCAGCCAGAAAAATGGGACATTTGGATACAACAGTGGATGCTTATATTCCAGCCTGACACAGAAAACTAGGCTCACAGTAATTATTAAATTCTAACTAATTGCCCCAATGATAAAAGCTGCTCTGTATGATTTAGAATATTTTCTTGTTGTATAACCTTATACATAACGTCAAAATGACTGTCCATGGGCTTATTCCTAAAAGCAGTTTCAGTGTAAACTTTGAGTGAAAGAATTAGAAATATTCAGTTTCCTGAAGCAGAAAGAGAAGATGAGTCAGTGAGATACCATACCTGCTCACTACCACTTTTTATTAACATTAATCTCCTCCTGCTGAGTCTGAAGAAACTGTCTGACAATCTTCATTCCCCTCAAATATTGTCCTTATCAGCTATAAGCACATATTAACACATGGTCAATGTTAGGAAGCAATCCCTGCTTGACAGGATTAGTTTGTTGCTGAAGGACTATCTTGACCTAAGGTCTATCTTCTTCTTGCAAGCTTTTGATAAGTGTATGTTGAATCAATGTTTTTATCCCTTTCCTTTTTATTAAGTATGCTCTATTTCTTATAGTTTTAATATACCCCATATTACTATAATGTGTCTTGTCTTATTTTTTCTCTTCTTTGTGTATTTTTGTACTCCTTTTTCTTATTGTTAATTTTATTTTTTGTTTTACATTTATATCTGACATATTCTTTTTTTCATTGACCTAATGGCTGAATAGTGGCTGGCTGCTGCTTCCTACTCCAGCTGTACCCAGATTGGATCCTCGCTTGCCACATCATAGTTTCCCTGACCGGTTTGGTCTTATTTTCCTGCCACAGCCCACTCCTTGGCTAGCAGTTGGAGAGCAGAATGACTGCAAGCGCAAAGAAACATTTAATGCCATGGAATTGGACATGTTAGTGGAAGAGGCAAACAAACACGTTGTTGAGCTACAGCAAATAAATATTAATATGACTCCAAGAAACGTGATATGGGAGAGTATCTGCAAAAAAGTAAATGCTGTGGGTAAAGACCACATTAGTTTCCAAACATCAAAAAAAAAAAAAAGAGAAGATGGCAGGACATAGAAGAAGAACAAAAGAAAAAATAGATCATAATAAAACAATAGGTGGGGGGCCGGTGGAAGAGATGCCTCTGACCAATATTGCACAGGAGGTGAGAGCTGTGTCCTCTGTGGCACGAGCGCTCAGGCATGACACTCGGGCCATTGTAGCACACAGGGAGCGCACACCAGGCAGCTGGTCAGCGCTGTATCTGGTGTGACAATGACCATCAGTGCTATGATTATTTTTTCTTCTGTCAATCCAATATGCTGTCTTTTTTTCAAGCTTCGTAAATCACATTGCGTCTGCTAAATTAAAGTATTTGCATCTACTCTTCCCAATATTTTGTGTACTCGGGTAGAAACACCCCCGATATTGCATATTCATTAAGGCAAACGTACTAAATGGACAGCGTGTGTTATACTGCATGCAATGCTCTGCTAGTAGATCAGCTTGCATGTTTTTTTGCAGGTGAAATCAAGTTTGCACACGTTTTTACACACAAAAACCTTTAGTAGATACAGTGTTCAGTCTTGTTGGAGTCCAGTTATGTCTCCTCAAGTTGGACATCAAAGGGTGTAGGCTGTCTGAGTGATCTAGAGGGAAATTTAACACAGACATATAAATATGTAAAGTCATACATGTGTCAGGTTAATTCTTTCTAAGATTTGACATGCTAAATATGAAAGTTTAGTACTTCAAAGTTCAGATCATAATCACTTCACTTCTGATTAGGAAATTGATGGTGGACATCAGGTCTGTCTATTCTAGTAAATTCACACTGTTATATATTTTCATGTGACAAACAAACACAATTTAGCTTGTTCACTTATTTAACACAGGAATGACAGATTTAATAAAGTCTGTTTAAGATTAACAATGTAAAAATTAAGTGTAGCAAACAGGTTTACTTTTCACTGTAACACATTACAACACATCAACATAAATACTCTGAATAAAGAGTTTTAGTAGATGTTATACTGCTTTTAACAGCTGCTCTTAAAATTAAGATGTGACGTTAAATATTCATGTTTCAGTCGATCACAGTGAATCTGCTTTTGCAGTATGATAATCTATGTTTGTTTTGTGAAAACCCAATGACAACTGAACTGGGACACCTGTGAGGGTACAGACGACTTTCCAAAAATGAGACACTGGTACAAACAGCTTCCCCCTAGGTTTGTTACCTAGGAATGGCAGGGTTTCCCGCAGCGCTTTATAGTTAAGGCGGCTGCCTTGACAACAACGGCCCCCCGCCTTGACTACTTCCCCCTGAAAATAAATAAATAAATAAATATTCTGCATCCCCGCATGCATAGACAGTAGGTTAAAATAAGGCCGCAACGCAATGAGGCGGAATAGCGGCATCTGTAGGTTAAATATGTTAAGCCATCTATCATCTGCTGTAACTGTGTGGCAAGGCCAACATCTCTCTTATATCAGTAAAGAAGCTAAATCCGACAACCGAATAGCATGCCTGTCGTCGTCGTGGCTACTACTTAACATTTCTGGAACCTAGATGGTATGAGAGAGTAGAATCTTTATGGTATCTCTTAGTATCTCTTATTGGGATCAAACACCTGAGGTCTCACAGGGGGGGTCATCCACAGAACATGTAAACAAAAGGACAGGATGTCTCCTCCACTGAGTGAATCTACAGAAGGGTAATAAATACCTTTGAATGCTTAGTGGGAGGGGGCTGAGAGTTATAAGAACACAGATTCTCCTATGTTCTTTGCTCATTTGTGCATGTCATTCAGGTGATGTGTACTGATGAGTCCATCTGTAGATGCTGAATTAAACTTTCAGAAAGAAGTGTTTGACTTTGTGCTTGTTTCACAGAAATTGTCACCACAATACATTGTTGTTTGCTTTACAGGCATTCTTTTTGTATATTGTTCTGAAGCTGAAATCACAGTTTTCAACCATTCAACTTCGATCAGTGACTGTGCATATAAGTTATCACTTGCAGATACAAGCTATGGAAATAAACACAAAGATATGGTAAAATGACGGTCAGAAAAGAGAGAAAGTCACAAAGAATGGAAGTTGTTGGTAATAAAATTAAAGAATCAATAATTCAATGCATTGACTTGCCTGTGTTCCAGTGGAAAACCCATTGCTACACAAAGCTGGATCTGTTTTCCTTTATTGGAGTTCATGTATCGGTCGGTGTCTGTCAGAAAGCTGTAAAAGAGTTACAGTTAGAAAATAAGTGCTACATCACGGTGGTCTATTTCTGTAATTAATGATTTGACATCCTGAGGTGGTGGGAAGTTCACTAAACAATTCTAGGATGTCTCAACAATTACTACTATAATCTTAGGCATGAGTAGTTCACAATATGAATCCATAAGAATGTAAATGTTACTATACCAGCATTTCGACTGAATACAAAAATTGTGTTTCTGGTGCTTAGTAAAAAAACTTATTTACACTATTGAAATAAAACACTATTATTTAAGGCTTAATACATAGTTAGTTAACTTAGATATGAGGATTATATCCCATTTGTTTGCAAAAAGAGACTTAGAGAGCCTTAGAAATCATACACCGCTAACAGTTACAATGAAAACACTGAGACTAGATTAAGTTAAAGAGGTCACTTTCATGATAGTTACTATTCATGATATTTGCAAACTTGAATTTCTTATGCTGATATTAAATCTTAGAATCCTAAAATACTCCTGACCCCAATTAAAGCCTGTGCATTTGCCACTGAAAAAGATAAAAAGTCTAACTTTTTCATTTTTGTCTTCTCTAGAAATACTAATGGATTCAACAACTGCCACTGCAGAACTGGGTTGGACCATCTATCCATCACAGGGGGTGAGTAGTACAAAAAAATCAAACAAACAAGACACTAGGGACAGTGCATGTAATCCATACAGCAAACATACAGATGTGCAGTCACAGGGTAGCATCTGAAAATATAAAAACTTTTTGATTGACTGCTGGTAAAACCATACACGTCAGTCTCTGCTGGTTGAGATACTTCAAACAAAAGGACAATGGGCCTCATTCACCCACTGTTCTTAAGGAAGATTCTGAAATTCACTAATATTTTCTCATCTGGGATTTGTTCTTATCAACAGAATCTACGTACTCCGAAGAGCACTCTTATGCACTCTTATGCACACTTGATCAGTAATTTAATTATTTTTCATTCTACTATATAATAGGATTTAGAATTTTTGCTTCTCAGATAATTTAAACACATGGACATGTTAAAGAGCAGAACAGATGATCATGGCTTGTTTTGCCAGATTACCAACATGTGTTGTGCAATATAAAAAAATCACACCAGCCAACTTGACTGAGCCGAACCCAAATGTCCAGTCCAGGCTTGGATTAGGTAACAAATGCTCAGCAGGGGTTTACCTGCAGTGCTGTGTTTCCAATGATGTCCCCCTCACTTTTCCATACCCCCTCTCTCTTCTGAGTTTGAATATGTCTTTTGGATTTTTTTTTTACTTCATTGTCAGACTTTCTCTCGATACAACCTCCACTGAACATGTTACCGCATCCCATGTATTATTTTGTTGTTATTTTTTATCCCCTGCAGACACTGCTAAATATGCAGATATTTTGCTTGCGTTTGAGTCCGGATTCCGTGTCTTGATTTTCGTTCAGAAGATGATGCTAAAAGCCCCTTTAACATAAACTTGATCAGGGACTAAGTTCGATATTTAATTTTAGGATTGACTGGTGCACAAAGGAGTTTTTTTCAGTCTCACTTTATTAATCTTTGGATGGTAACAATCTATATTCACTGTTCAGGGCATGATTAGGATCAGAAACAATGTTGTTGGCCAATCTTAGTATGTTGCTATGGTAAATTGATTCAAAGATTTTCTCCAGAGATTGGCCTACAATCTTTGAGCAGATTTTAATTTGGTGGAACAGTTTCAACTTCAAATTAGTGGACAGACACTTGTACCATGTAGTATTACAGTGTGGAATAACGCTCATAATTACAGAAGTAAAAAACAATTCCTCTACTCGCGCCAAAATACCTAAGGTGGCAGAGGAGATTCTTCGCTTTGTCTTTGTGTAGACTAGTTCAATGTGATCTCTCCATGATAATTCTTCATTCCTATCAGATGGAGCCTCTCCTCTCTCTCTCTCACTCACACTCATGCATACACACACACTGATATGAGGGGCCACCTGGGACATAATTCATACTTGGTCTTACACACACTATCATAACCTTGCATATACACCACTATACTCATACACACACACTATTATACTCCTTTTACATGTTTGTATGAGAGTGTATAGTTGTGTATGTGAGAGAGTATAGTAGTGTGTGTGGGAGAGTATAGTAGTGTGTGTGGGAGAGTATAGTAGTGTGTGTGAAAGAGTATAGCAGTGTTTGTGAGAGAGTATAGTTGTTTATGCGAGACAGTATAGTATTGTGTGTGAGAGCATATACAGTACAGTCACACACACTACTATACTCTCTCGCATACACTACTATACTCTCTCGCATACACTGCTATACTCTCTCACATACCCAAATACTGTATATGCTCTCACACACAATACTATACTGTCTCGCATAAACAACTATACTCTCTCACAAACACTGCTATACTCTTTCACACACTACTATACTCTCCCACACACACTACTATACTCTCTCACACACACTACTATACTCTCTCACATACACAACTATACACTCTCATACATACATGTAAAAGGAGTATAATAGTGTGTGTGTATGTGAGTATAGTGGTGTATATGCAAGGTTATGATAGTGTGTGTAAGACCAAGTATGAATTATGTCCCAGGCAGCCCCTCATACACTCACAAACAGTTTCATCAAACAAAGTAACAGCAGAATCTGTAAACTTAGTCAATGTAGAGAAGATGGTGGGGCGTGCTCGGTTTGGCTTCATGCGGTTGGCACAGTGACGATAGACAGAGAGAAGCAGTAAATTACTTACAGAGCCAGTAAATCTTACTTTTTAAAGGTCCAGTGTGTAGAATTTAGTGATATCTAGAGGTTAAGTTGCATGTTGCAGCTGAATACCCCTCATGTCACCCTCCCCTTCCCAACATGAAAGAGAACCTGTGGTGAACCTCAGTTGTCATGAAATCTCAAAAGGTTTTAGTTTGTCCAGTTTGGACGACAGTGAAAAACATGGCAGCCTCCATAGAGGGGACCCCCCTCCAAGTACATATCACATTTTTTTAGATATAAAGAGCCCATTCTATGGTAAAGAAAAAACAACAATTCATACAATTTAGATGATTACACACAAGTTAAACATCACTAGGATTATTTTAAATTCTATTTCTGCCAAAAATTCCTTTCACCTAAATCTTACACAATGAACCTTTAAGGTGCAAACATGTATGAAAAGAAAATTAACATTGTAAGTGGACTTAGTGGAGCTGTGCATGGCTCCCTGGATATCTGCCTTGGACATGGTGGCGCTGTGGCCGGGCTGTGCCCCCTCTCCCTCGGGCTGTTGACTCGTCCGCGGTCCCTGCGTCTGTAGCCAGGTGAATTTTTTCAATAAAACCAAGTTGTTACAATGGAAATAATGCTTTTAAGATCTTTCAGTGTCTGCATAGACCACTTACTCTATGGGACCAATCAAAAAAGTTCATTTGATGCTTCTTATGAGTCTCCAGGTTACAGTGTTGTGAATCCCAGAGCACTATTGTTGGTGTGTCAGAGTAGCAGAGTTGCAGCTCATGCACACAGTCGGCTATGGTGCTCACCGCCAGTGACACTACTGTTGGGAGGCACTTATGCCACAATCAGTAGAAATTTTCTCAGGAGGGTGTGATCGGAGCTACAGCCACACTTTTTGAAGTTGCCTCACAGGTGTGCTGTTGGAAGTTGTACAGGCACACATGGTCCACAGAGTCCTATATTCCAAAGAATCAGAAGCATCGTCTTCTGGCCACTCATCGTCACACTTAACTTGAAGACATTTCTTCCAGACTCAACACAATAGATAAACATTTAAATAAAATTTGAGAAAAAGCAAACACAGTCTGCTCGGTGAGCAATGCACCTGGCGCCATTTTGATGGCACATGGCATTCATCAATTTAAGAACAAAGGTGTGAACAAGATATCGGTGAATAAGGCCTAATGTTCATCAGTATGTGAATTTTAAAGGGGCAGCTTTTACTGATGCTCTTGATTCCATTTTATAGGGATCTTATTATCTCAGTGTTATGTGCTAATAAAAGATATTAATATAATATAAATAAAATCATGAATACTACAAAATAAATTGCAGTAGAGGAAGAAGAAGTATTCGAGAAGAAATACCAACAAAAGCAAGTACAAAAAAACTCAGTCTTGCATTCAGTAGAACTGTACAGAAGCATGTTCATGTACTTAACATATCAGTAGTTAAAGTGGTATTTGTGCTGTACAATGTCTCCTGTAACTGAGATGTTATTAGATAGATAGATAGATTACTTTATTCATCCCCGYAGGGAAATTAAGTTGTCATAGCAGCTGGTATATTTGAATACAATAAAATACAATACAATAGAATAAAATAATAGTAACTATGTATTTGCCCATTCAAAATGTGCATATCTGGTCTAATGGGGCTTATTTGTTAGCAACTGTCTGTGATGTCACTGTCGTGTCATCCCATAACAGTCACTGGCTTTTGTTAAATAATTTAACTATATATAAAGATGGATTACATGTCTCCATACTTATAATGAAAGCACAGCACAAAACAGCTGGAGAAAAGATTTTTTTCACTGTACTTAAGTAAAAAAAACAAAGTTTATATCAGTCACTTTCCACTGCTGAACATTTGAATATTTGATAATTGAAATACTTGGGTGCTGTGAGGAAAAACTCTACTTTTCTCTTACTGTCTAAACCTGCTGTCATCCGACTGACAGCACAGTGTATATATAATGATTTAATGGTCAGCATATGTTTCTTTGTGCTGTGTACCTTTGGAAATATGTGCATGGTATGTATATGTACTGCATACTGTATATAATTATTTATGTTGTAGAAACTTCAGATATGCACTGGCGTCCAAAGAAACGTTCTTTGTCCCCAAAAAATGCAGCCGTGGTTACACTTAAGACAACATATTTTTAAGTCTCATAGACTTATTTTGGGTCATACAAACAATAATTGAGAGGCAAAGATGAAAGATGACTGTCCACTGAACACCCACACAGTACACTGTAATAAACACCTGATGCACTGTAAGGTCAGGTCTATCCATCTGTTGAGAACTGTATGCTAATAGTAGCAATTAACAGAGAATGTATGAAGCCCCTATTTGTGTCTTTATATTTAGCTGTTTCCCATTTAAACCTTGCTTTGCAATATTTTCAGCTACTGCTCAGTTTAACTCTAACTATAGAAGTATAGTTAAATAGTATAGTACTATAGTGAACACATTGGTAGTTTTTAGAGAAACTGATTATCTCCTTACTTAGCTTTTAAGGATTGGATGACTTAATGCCTCAATGAATAGGTGTCAGAATATATATTTTGTCACTGTAGTTTTTTTTCTGCTCTCTTTTAGTGGGAAGAAGTTAGCGGCTACGATGAAAACATGAACACCATCCGAACTTACCAGGTTTGCAATGTCTTCGATAGCAGCCAGAACAACTGGGTACGCACCAAATACATCCGCCGTCGTGGTGCTCAGCGGATCCACGTCCAGATGAAGTTCTCAGTTCGTGACTGCAGTTCTATACCCAATGTTCCAGGCTCTTGCAAAGAAACCTTCAACCTATACTATTATGAGTCTGACTCAGACACTGCTACCAAATCATCCCCATCCTGGATGGAGAACCCCTGGGTGAAAGTGGACACTATAGCAGCTGATGAAAGTTTCTCTCAAGTAGATCTTGGAGGGCGCATCATGAAGATCAACAGTGAAGTCCGGAGTTTTGGACCTGTTTCACGCAATGGCTTCTACCTTGCTTTCCAGGATTATGGTGCCTGCATGTCACTCATTGCTGTTCGAGTCTTCTACAGGAAATGTCCTGAGGTGATCCTGAATGGGGCTATCTTTACCGAGACCCTGTCTGGAGCAGAGGGCACCTCACTGGTAGCAGCCAGAGGGGTGTGCATTCCGAATGGGGAGGAGGTGGATGTACCCATTAAGCTGTACTGTAATGGGGATGGGGAGTGGATGGTACCCATTGGGCGCTGCATGTGCAAAACCGGGTATGAAGCGATGGACAATGGTACAGTCTGCAGAGGTAGGAGCCTGCCAGTGTTGATCTTATATATGTGACTTGTTTAGTTTGCTTGGTTTCTTCTAATTAATTTGTTTAGTAAATGAACACATACATATCATACAAAAAGGCAATATATTTGTTATGTACTGTGCTTCATGAATTCTCAAGTCTTACAAACTTGAAAGAAGAACAGAATTTGTTTGCAAAGAACAGCTACATATGTTTGCAAGAATGTGCACAAGAATGTGCTAGTGCTTAGCATGCTTGATTAATATCTGAACAGCATTATGAAAGATGGACCACTAGAAACAATCAAAAGATTTCCTGTACTTGACAGAGAAGGTAATGGGCAGGTAATGTAATAATAATTANGCAATCTTACAAAAACTAAAACAAACTTTATTTATCCTCCTTTTTTAAAGCATTCTGTTTTATTTGTTTTACTTATTATTTCGGAAAATCGCACATTTTTTTCACATAGTATTTTATATTTCTTCAGACTTAAGTGTTAGTTATTGTTGTACCGAGGCCTCTTTTATCTTATCTTATCTCATCTTATCTTCCTCTGCAGAATTCAATAACGTGGACATGGAACAAGACCAACATGTCGGATGTAAGACACACTCGGCCATATCACAAAGAAAAATGTAATTAATAGAGAAAACAAGTGGTCAGACAGTGTTGGCGATAAATAAAAAATATATCGAGTTGACACAGGAATCAAACAAAGCGTCTTCTGTGAGACTGTGAGACGTGGTGTCTTAATAATGTCCAGGCGGCTGCAGCTCTCACAGCAGCTCTATGCTGAAGTGATGATAGAGCTGTGACCTGTGACTGATGAGCAGAGAACCAGACTCAGAGTCTCGGGGTTTCCTACGATCAATACTTTTCTTCTTCTCGAGAAAAAATCAATGTTTTGGTTCGAGAGAAACGAGAAAATTAAAGAGTGGGTTTGATACCGGAGCTGCAGGAAAAGTAAAGACGCCTCTTTCTTCAGCGTGTTTCCTTTTCTTCGGTGCGTTCGTACGAACTCCTTCATGCACAGGTTTATATCCGTGCTTGAGGCAGTGATGGGGTCGACTAATCAACGGCGTGTGTGTGAATGCGGTTTTAAAGAACGAGGTTTCATGAGAAGATCTCACTCACCAAGAGAGTCCGGCACATAACTCAGTTTAAAACTACTGTGAGAAACAAGTCCGGCATGTGGACTCACGGGCTGGTGTCACACTTCAACCTGATTTTCTCCTTCTGATTATTTTGCGTTCTGATTAGAGGTCAGGTGAATTTTATCAAATCTTCTGGAGTTGACACAGAGATCAGATCACGTCATGTTTCCTCTCAGGTTTTTTGGTCCGGTATGTTTATACATCCCGTCAAATTCAAAATGAAGGCAAAACCAAAAACGTTCGAAACTTTTCAAACCTAAATGGCCCCAGGACTCGTCAGGGTGATATGCATCTCCACCCATGAGGTGTATTGTGTTGACTTGTCTTCAGACGTGTTCCTGTGTCTTCAGAGACCTGGTGAAACCTGAACTCCTCCTGTGTGCAGCGATAAACTGAGCTTTTTTATGATCATAACAAGCAGCTCTTGTAAAAATAGATTTTTCATGTCCTCCGGTCTCAAGTCGTCTCTTCCTGTCCGACGCTCTTGAGTGAGGCAGCGGACGAGCTTCTGGAGCACTTATTTATTTCAAAGGAGAACAACAAGCTCTCCGGCCACTCGCAGGTCCTATTTGACGACACCTCGGCAGGCATCGTGTTGTCATGGTGACCGTGTTACCCACTCAAACAGCCTCACACACCCCAGGGGATGAATAGAGTCACACAACATTCACCACATGATGATTTTCAGCTACTCAATGAGTTCATATGTTGTCTGAGCTTTTTGGAGAAAACAAATGACTCAGATACAAATAATAATAATAATAATAATCATATTAAATGCAGAGTACTTGCCACAGTTGCAATTTAAATTTTGCAAAACATTTAGGGCAGCGCAGTATTGATTTAGGAATGTATAGTGTTACTTGTCTAGCGGCCTAGAAGTCAGAGTGTGTCAGCCTGCTCAGCCAGCGTAAGCACCTCACAAGCACCTGCAGCCCTGCCCTCAGTAGAGCCAGATACATCAGTGAGGTGTTTTGCACCCAATGCACTTTAATTTTCACATGCCCCAATTGTTGCTTTAATTGACTATTCTTGAGCACAAATTCTATGGCGTATTTCAATAGATTTCCTATAGAAATTATGTACCACAGGAATTAGCTCAAAATGAATAGATGTTTACGTTAACGATCAGTATGAGCACAAAGCCTCATGACAAGACTGTCAGGTTGGAAGGGGAATGCGGTAGAAAAAGGGAACAGGTGGACCAAGACGCAGAACTAAATAGTGTGTGAAGAAAGGTGTCCTTTATTTTAAGGTAAACGTACAAAAGTAATCTTCAATAAATCAAAATGTGCTCTCAGGCAAGACAGGTAAATGGCACAGGAAAGACATGAAAGAACTTACGAGGAACGTGGCGAGAGGTGACGGGACACATGAACATGACGAAGGTAAATGACGATGAACATGACGATAAACGACGGGATACATGAACGGACGAGGAATGACGACGAACATGACAACAAACGACAGGATACATGAACGGACGAGGAATGACGACGAACATGACGACGACCATGACGATAAACGACGATGAACCAACAACCACATGGGGGAAACACCAAGACTTAAATACACACTTGAACTAATCAGTAAGTGGAGACAGGTGGCACAAGACAAACAGGTGAACATGATGAGGGCAGGAAGTCAAATGGGGAAAACACACCGGGAGCAGGGACTACAAAATAAAACAGGAAACAGAGGAACACTGAACAAACTTAAAACATGAATTAAAAATGTAACAATAACACTGTTGAAACATGAACTGAAAACACTCATAAAAGAGGACAAAAATACAATAACCATGACAGGGATGAACACAGGAGAAGCACAGGGTGGAACATAGAGGGGAACACAGAGATGAACACAGGAAGGCACACAGGAGAAGCACAGGGTGGAACACCGAGGAACGCAGAAGACAGACACAAGCGAGGGACACAGAGGGGACATAGAACAAACTTAAAAAGTGAATTAAAAACGTAACAAAAACACAATTTAAACTAGAACTGAAAACACTCTTTATAAAAGAGGACAAAATACCATAACCGTGACAAAATACAATAACCGTGACAGAAAATACCATAACCGTGAAAAGATACAATAACCATGACAGAAAATACCATAACCGTGACAACTGTCATGGAACAGTGTTGTAGTCAAATATAGCTGTTTTATTACTTAATATTACTAACCTGTTGTTAATGGACTGACTTGGTTTGTGTGGTTTTTATGTTTATGTGTTCAGGATAGTTTTAAAATAAGTTTTATGTTAAATGCTAATTTAGCCACTGTGACTGAAGGGTATGGTGTGTCTGCGTCACTGTTCATGTGACTGTTGTCAATGTTGAAGCTAAATAAATTCTACTACCTACTGTCACGCAGACTATGTGGTGCAAAGTTGAAAAAAAAAATATTTGTCTCAGTCCACTAAAGGTTGTCATTTAAAAATTGGTCAAATATTGATAGCATATCATGTTCACAAGACATTTGGAAGGCTTGGTCTTTGTTTTTTTGAGTTGTTGAGATACCAATACTTATCTTAAAAGCATCACATCGCAGATTTGTCTTTGTAGGAGATTAACCCTGCACGTGTGTGAGTGTGTATGTTGTGTGTGTGTGTGTGTGTGTGTGTGTGTGTGCATGCGCGCATATGTGTGTGTGTGTGTTTGTGTGTGGACAAAATAACATCACATGGATGAGTTTTTACCCAAATTGGTGGTAATTACTTGGGAGACTATCTCCAGATGATTAACTTTTGCAGCTGATCAGTCAAAGGTCAAAGTGCACATCAACAAAAATAGAGACAATCATAAGCCTTAATTAATCAGAAAATTATCCTCCATAATATGTTATCATACAATAACTGATGTCAGGATGATGTCAGAAAATTGTATTATTTGCATCCTATAGGGCTACAGACACAAACTAAAGCTTATATAGATCGACAAAGTATGATCATTTGGTAGGAATGATGTCATCATGACAACATAATGAAATGGCGTTATTACAATATAAAAAAGATTAGTGCTGCCTTTCCTCTTC